GGATTTTAATTACCTAATTAGCATAATTAATTTTCAGCTTTTGATTTTCAAGTAGTAATCATCACATTTCAATGAAATTTGGTACATAGATGTCATAGGACACTGCACAGACCTGATAGTTTTTTAGGGTAATATGAGTACATATTAATTAGCTAATTTGCATAATTAATTAATTTTCAGCGTTTGATATTTCAAGTACCCGGTAGTAATCATCACATTTCAATGAAACTTTGGTACATAGATGTCATAGGACACTGCGCAGACCTGATAGTTTTTAGGGTAATATGAGTACATATTAATTACCTAATTTGCATAATTAATTAATTTTCAGCTTTTGATATTTCAAGTACTAATCATCACATTTCAATGACACTTGGTACATAGATGTCATAGGACACTGCACAGACCTGATAGTTTTTAGGGTAATACGAGTACATATTAATTACCTAATTAGCATAATTAATTATATTTCAGCTTTTGATATTTCAAGTAGTAATCATCACATTTCAATGAAATTTGGTACATAGATGTCATAGGACACTGCACAGACTTGATAGTTTTTTGGGTAATATCAGTAGATATTAATTACCTAATTAGCATAATTAATTAATTTTCAGCTCTTGATATTTCAAGTAGTAATCATCACATTTCAATGAAACTTGGTACATAGATGTCATAGGACACTGCACAGACCTGATAGTTTTTAAGGTAATATGAGTATATATTAATTACCTTATTCGCATAATTAATTAATTTTCAGCTTTTGATATTTCAAGTAGTAATCATCACATTTCAATGACACTTGGTACATAGATGTCATAGGACACTGCACAAACCTGATAGTTTTTAGGGTAATATGAGTACATATTAATTATCTAATTTGCATAATTAATTAATTTTCAGCTTTTGATATATCAAGTAGTAATCATCATATTTCAATGAGACTTGCTACATAGATCTTCTAGGATTATGCAGAGACCTACCTTGGTAATTAGTTTTAATTGGATATTAATTACCTAATTTGCATAATGTTCCACTGATATATAAAGAATCACAAATTGGATTTTAATGAAACTTTTAAAGAGAACTATGCAGAAACCCAATTAGTTTTTGGTAAATATTTATGCTTATTAATCTCCTAATTAACATAATTAACACTGATATCTCAATTACTGATCATCACATTTGAATAAAATTTGGTACATAAATGCTCTAGGACAATAGACAGGCCTGATTAATTTTGGGTTAAAATTTGTTCATATTAATTCTCTAATTAGCATAATAATTCATAATTTTTTTGTTCTGTTCTGTTCATATTAGTTACCTGATGTACATAATTAGTTTTCAGCTTTTCTATCAATATCTCATGTACAAGTAATTTTGAATTAATTTTTAATGTGTCTTCAATACTCTCAGCACACGGGAGTTCTTTCTAAGCTTTCTTTGATTTTTAAATATTTTTTGTGCCAGGCGACAGTTCTGGACATTGGATATCACTGTTGTCTCTCCTGACTTTTTTTTGTATGTGCAAATTGCAAGTGCTAGTGACGACACATAGTGCATTTTGTCACAGAAGTCATATTCATGGGACTACATGACAGGGCTGTGTGGCCATCTCTCTGTCAAATGGCAATTTGTAATGCGCTATCCTGGTGTCAACCACGCCCGGTCAAACACAAGCACCCGCGGACCTTAACCAAGGTTTCCCTAAAGTCGCATTCGTTAGTGAATGAATCTCGGCCAGTGGAATTGGCCTTCCCATTGAGTCTGTGGCACACTCACCCAGGGTAGGGGTCGACCCTTTGATGTTCAACCTAAGGTAGGATTTGAACTTGGGTCTACCGATCATGAGTCTGATGCGACAAGATACTGTAAAATACTTTATTTTCACTGGAATTTATTTTTGCTGAATAGACTATTTAGGTGTGTTATATGGAATTTATTTTCACTGATTTTTGGCAAGTTGAATGTAAAAGATAGGAAAAAAGGTATATTCGCTGGATTTTATTTTCACTGAATCATTTCTTCAGCGAAAATAGCGAAAACTAATTCCAAGCGAAAATAAAGTATTCCACAAGTATTTAACAAGTTGAGGGCATCCCCGAGTATAGGCCCAAGGTGTTTTTACCGGGCGTCAATGACATTTATTAAAATATTCATGTAAAAAGTGTATTTCATTGCATAATAATCAAGATTGGTACGGTAGTTTGGTTCCTGCTTTTACAAGGAAACTCGCATTAATTGCATGGCCGGCGAACGTTTGGAACATGGTTCGACCTTTTCTTTTCTGTTATTTACTCACGATGAATCCCGATCCATATTTCTTTTGAGTAGCAGTTTTAGAAATGCCAAACATGTGATCGTCAAGTCGTGAAACCTGGTCATTGAACATTGTTTTACTTTTCCGAATAATCATGTCCATTGAGACCTTCGTGAATGGGATGTGAACAAGCAAACTATTCTTCAACATGACTTGTTGGCAATCGTGAAAAGTTTGAATACTTCCTCTACCCTCAGTTTATCCTCAGTAAACTGCACCAAATTCATCAACTGTGATGTGTAAATGCAGATTTCCTTTGGTTTTAGTGAAGACAGAGCTTTATCAGTCTTACAAAGCTCACGGTGCTGAGTTTTGAAATAAGTCAGTCAACGCATGTCCTAGGAAATTTGTGTGCTCTTGTCATCACATCAAGAAATTGGACTTTCAATCAGAGGGTTGTTGGTTTGAATTTCCACTGGCTCCTCAGGGGTTTTTCTAGAAAAAAATGTTCACAGAAAGCACACCTCTGAAAGGAGTAATTATAGATCTTGAAACATCAGAAATTAAGACATTATGAACTGTTGAGGGCGCTGCATCCCATGTTCCCCTGTCTGGATGAATCCCTGGGTTTATGATATTGTGCTTTTCTCTGGAGTGGTAGGGTAGGGATTGTTGTGCGTGTTAACTTTCATGTGCTCGGGTTATATGCTCCACAGGAAGTTGAGGATGGTTTGCGGTTTGATTCAGATGGCCCAGTGATGAGAAGTAATAATTGTTAAGTACGTATGAGCAGTGCTTTTGATATATAGTGCCATAAATACCCACGCAATAGTATTATTATAATATAAATTTCATGATGTGTTGTCTTTGTTTCTTTTAATAAACATGATCCTGGCATCTCCAAAAAATGATGTCAGAGGGCAGTATACTCTAGTGTTGTATATGTACAACTATAAAAGTGAATACTTATTTTTCAGAAAAACTGGATTGGTGGTTATGTGGATTCTGACGGCGATGAAGTAATTGCATTTGAAACAATGCAGGAATACTTTGATTCAAAGTTTGAATTTTTACAAGAAAAGGATATGCCGTTTTTTATTCGGGAAACCGCAAGGAAAAACCAGTGGACTGTGAGTCATGCCACTTTTTGGCAGAGGAAAGAATCTGAGTGAATTGGAAATTGGATTTTCAGCATGCTGGGATGAACTATTTTAGTTATAGGGGTGGCCGACACCATTGTGAATGGGATTTGTAGTAAATGCGGTTAAATTAAAAATAGAATACTACGCGTAACTAGGTGGAATGTACCTGCAATTAATAAGAGGTGTTGTCAATTTGAATTTGTTTAAAAATTCACAAATTACATCACTAAGCATTACATACTATGATTAAATACTGATGAAGATCTTCGATGTGAGACAAAGAAATAAGTAAATAAAAACTAAAATACTGACAAATGTATTTTATAAATGTTGTCATTGAAATTCTTTGGTGCAATATTCATGGAATTCAAAACAAGCAACTCCAAATCCACAAGGTAACATACACAGTCGGGGTTTAAAAGATATTTATCGCTTGCATGTTGTCTGCATACAATCTATCAGTTCTATGGTAGCTTATAATCGTGACATAGGTTATTTCTCAGGTTTACAACTTCTAAATAAATTTTGACACTAGTAGTCTGTATACTGTTCTCATCACAAACCCAATTGCTTGTTATTGTGAATGTTTACAATAAGGATCCATGTTTGATGAAGATCCCTACACCGTACTGTATTGTGTGAATGCAATATTAAAACACAAATAAAAAATTATGCCTGCTTTTGTTCTAGTCATAGTTGCAATGGAAATTCCACTGATCACAAGACTAAATAATGATATACTAGTGTTTGTGTTTTATTGGTCTGAACATGCTTGATTGGTGTAGACCTTTGTATTCCTTGATCTTTACATTTTTAGTCCCTGTTCGGACGTAGTCCGAAAACGAGGACTTATGTTTTGCCCTGTGTCCGTGCGTGCGTGCATGCGTGCGTGCGTGCGTGCGTGCGTGTGTGCGTGCGTGCGTCCGTGATCACCTGTATCTCGAACATGCATGGACCGATTAAGTTCAAACTTCACTCGTACATCACACATTATATGGGACATGTGCACATGCATTTTTTTCATGATCCGATTAACGATAGCCAAATAGCGGTCATTTTAAAGCCGAAAATGCATCAAAATCACACATTTTCACCATTCCGGACCCGGATCTCAGTTATGCATGGACGGATTTCATTCAAATTTGGTACATACATTAAACATAATAGGACCTTGATGCACGTCATTTTTTTTGGATGGGGTTTGAAATGGCCGACTGGCGGCTATTTTGTTTTAAAGAATTCAGTTCTGGATCCGTATCTGAGACATGCTTGGATTGATTGAGTTCAAACTTCACACCCACAAGGTACATCATGTCACAAATATGTATGTGCATTTGTTTCATGATTTCATTAACGATAGCCAAATCGCGGCCTCTTTAAGGTCGAAAATGCATTGAAATCGCACATTTTCACCATTCCGAA